CCTCCGCGTTTTAGAAATCACAATTTTTCATATATGTCGTCGTATAAAGATATATCCAAGTATTGGGAAGAGTAGATTTTTTCGCATTTCCGATTTTTTATTTAGAGTTCGGGAGAGTATCCCACGAGATATAAAAAAACATTTAACATTTTTATGCTCAAACCAATATTGCAAGAGATATCGCAACTTTTTAATCATTTTTGTCTATTATTATTTATAAAAACTGGCGCATTTTATAATATTTTATATAACACATATAATATTGTAATAATATATGAGCAGCTTTCATCGAGATATCCATTTTTAAAAAGGTACGTTAAATTGATACTCGCAAGTATTGTTGACTTTTTTCTGCCATGCTAATTGATTATCTCGACGTTGCGCTGTGCATTACTTTATATCAAAAGCCTGTCTTAACTAAGCGACGTATTTGACAGTTTAAATATTAAATGTGTGTATAATTTTTATTTAATTTTATAATATCAATTTAACATGCTTTTTTTAAAAGTCGAATGGATTCAAGAATTAAAAATATTAAAAATTATTTCCTTCGGCAATGCTTAACAATTAACATTCCTTTATTGCACTGGTTAATTATGTTTTCTTCTCTGTTTATATAATAAATTAGATAATATTTTAGAAAAGGACAGCGAGAATGGCTAGAGTTCAAAATTACTTAAGGCAAAGTTATTATAGTATCGCAAACGTGCTGTTTAAAAAAAAAACTAAATTTATTGCCCTGTTGAAAGTATCTGGTTATCCGATAAAGGATAATCGGCGGCTTATTCTGCGCGATTTATCTTCAATAGGGGTGGTTTCGTAATCTTTTTTCTGATGCTTGCGGATCAATTATTGTCCCTGTCGGTCGGTTTTCGAGGTCTCGACGTCGCGATAACTTTCAAAAATTATTGCCCGTTAAAATCTCAAACCGTGATCTCGCATAACTCCAAAATGGATGTATGGGGCGTTCTGTGCGGGTGCGCGCGCGCCAAGGAAACATTATTAAATATCGCCGTTCGGCAAAGTTTAAGTCTTTTCTCGGCAAATTAGCAATTAACTTTTTCGATTAGACACAGTCCCGACGTTCTTACTGAGAGTGGTTGTAGATGGGTAGATCCAGTATTTGATTCTATTTGTTGTTAAAGATATAATTATTGTTCGTAAAGATCGCAATGAAACGATAATTTATAATATGGTTTCCTATTACTTTAATCCTTATTTGATTAAATGAATAAATTACGAAATATACGATTCGAGATCTATCGTCACGATATATATGTATAATTACATATTATTTATAAATATTAATTATATTATAATAGCAAATAATTTCCCGATACTGATTGCGATCGCGTTTAGAAAATGAATTTGACGGTGCGTCTCGCAAAACTACTTTCCTGTTCGTCGCGTGAATGATAACAGAATAAAGATACGTAAATAGTAGCGTGCCAATGTTTATGCCGCCAAGACCAAATACATGGTTGTTGATATTTCGTTGTCAAAATATTTTACGTATTATGACTATAGACATAGTAGATCGAAACCGAGTATTAAGGAGTGGGGGTCATCAAATATTAGACAGAGATAACATGCTTTTTATCACTATTCTATCTTCGTTATTTTCATCCCCTCTACATTTCTTTTCCCAGTTAACGAAGGCTTCTTTCTCGCTTATCACGCGTCGTTAGAAAAAGACAGATTAGTGATCGTACAGCAGCTATCTCTTTCTATTTTTTGACGCCGTTCTGATTACGAGAGATGTAGAGACCGCGCGGGCTAGACATACACAGTTATGACTATGATATATATATACACGGAATATTAAATTATAGGAGTATCTTAATTTATAGATTAATTAATTATTTAATAGTTGACGAATCACAAAGTCTTTCTTTATGCTAATTACTCGATCGTGCGATTCGATTTTTTTTACTGCGTGCATCACTCAATCATATTTTCAATAATGTGTAATGAATGTGAATCACTATCGCACTGCATTTTTGGCTTTTATGTCATATACACATTTAGTCAAGTTACTTTTTTTCTAAGTCTAATGTCTACTAACACATATCTTGATTAATGGATAAAAGATTAAGAAAAATAGATCTCTTATAATATTACAGTCTCGAGAATTTCCTGATTATTTGTTATAAACGTAAAAGCCAAATTAAATGCAAATACAATCAATTAATATTTTAACTATTCTGTATAAAGCAAAGTGTCCTAAATAACTGATATCGTAAAATTAATTATTGCGCGTAATCAATTCTTTTATTTATCTTCTAAATGTTAATTAAAGATATTTAAAAACAAAGATATTTTAATATTGCAAGTTGCATATTTAAAAGCTTTTTCTTGAATATAAACTCTTGAAAAATATTATTAAAAAATTATAATTTATATATATAAAATATCTAAGTAATACTATTATGAAATATTTTACAGAATATTAAAATGCACCTATATAAAAGAATATTAATACAAAAATCTTTTATTATAGATATTTTAAGTATATTTAAATAATATCTGAAATATTTTATACATACATGCGTCATATTATACGATAATTTAGTATAAATCACTCATACACATTTGCACGACACTCCCGATCGTGAAATAATGACATGAGAAAATATGCACTTTACATATTACATATCGCAAGAGAGCAACAATTTGCTCGACATTTGCGAGGCCAAAATTATGTGCCACTCGCTACAGCAATGCTATCTTTTTATTGTTGATATATTTATAGTATACACTATAACGCAAATCTAAGATCGAAAGATTAAAATAATAAGAAGTTGTATGGATTTAGCACTCATTTAATTAATAATATAATTAATGAATGCTCGCATTTTAGGAAAATTTAAAGCAACGAACGAAATATACATAATTATACATAACGATTTCCACAGATATAATTTATAAAAGCTTTATAAATTTGTATGTTTATTGTTACAAATATAACAGAGAAACGTATTTACTGTATAAATTTTTATTGTTCATTACGACTTTGGTACATCAATGGGTTGAAATTTTATGCTGATTCCTTTGTCTTGCAGTTTAGCTTCTAACATAGAAAGCTTATTGAGTGAATTTTTAATATACTTTTTGTAAGCTTCAGCACTTTGAACGCGGTTTTTACGTAAGATTGTCTTACTCCTGCTTCTCAATTTAGGGTATTCATCTTCTGTCCAATTTGCTCCCATGAAAAATCCAAAATGCTGCTTCTCCGGTGGAATATATGTGGCTAAAAAATACATGTCATATGAATAAAAAAAGCAATCAAAATTAACATGTTAATATAATTATAAAGTTTAAATACCTTTCAATAATCGACCACACATGAGATAATTATTCATACTCTCTGCTGCAATTTGAGCAACTTCTGAGTAAAGGAATTCTACATAACCATAGCCACGACTTTTCCCAGTCTGTAAATAAAATTTGTAAAAGTTAGCAGTATAGTCATTGCACTCTCATAAAACAATTTACAGCTCATTTAGATTTATGCATACTTTTTTGGATCGTGCCACTCGTACTCTTGTTACATTTCCAAACTGTTTGAAGTAGTCTTTCATTTGTTCTTCATAAAATCCATGAGGTATGTGTCCTACATAAACTATCCCTCTTTGTCTCGGTTTTTTCACTTTAGATTGTATAGATTTACGTTTTGTTGAACTTGTTCTCTTTTTCTTGGCAGCTTTAGCTAGTGCTTTCTTTTTCTGGAAAAAGCATTCGTATTAATAAATGTAACAAATTACATTCATTAACATTGGTCATTTAAATTCTTATTAAACATTTTGTTAAAACAATTGTAATAATTGTTAATATACATAACACAGTAAACATTACAATAAATATTAAAATAATTACATGTATATGATAAATTCAAAAATATGAATATTAGCAAAGTAATATAAATCAGCAAGCTACAAATATACAATAAAATGATGTGATAAATACAAAATATTGTAAAAATGAAATAAAACATTGTTTTCTATCAGAGGTTATATCTAACCTTCAAGATATGGTTGCACATTTTTTACAGCTTTTTCCAGATTATCGCCTGCTTTTGGTCTCGATATTTTTCGCACCGCATCGTCCTTTTTTGCTTTCGTGGTTCTCTCAAGATGCGCGACATCCATCTTACAAACGAGAGGATCAATTTCAGAACCTTACCCTCGTATTTTGAATTCTGATATAAACGATACGTAGATTAGGATTAGAGAATCATATGTTCGTGGATAGAGAAAGGTTATAGAAAAAGACAGCGCACAGATCTGTCGGCTGCGTTCAGAAAAGATAACAGAGTATACTTTTTGAAAAATGAATCTGATTGGTGGATTTATAAATATACACCAATCATAAACGATATGTTAGTTAATAGTATATTTCTGAACGCAGTTTTTAGCATTACAACGAGAACTGTGTGAAGCATGAAGTAGAAATGCGTAATGATTTAAACGCAAATTTCTTTAATTAATACGCATACAATCTGAGCTTTGAAAGTCATTTAAATTGCTTGAATTACTTAAAATGCGAGGTAATTGCTTCTTATCTTCTATTAAATTATATAGTCCTTACGCAATTATTTTTTATTGTTTTTTTAATGATCTAACATATAAAACTTATATAATAATTCACAGGTAAATAGGGAAAATTATAGTAAAGAATGGCAAATGCAATGGAGCAAGAACCTCAAGCAGAATTACTGCAATGCGGCATCAAATTTCACAAGTTTGTTGCCAAAGTCGGTGATGTTACTATTAATTGTGAAATCATGAAGATGAAAGATTCCTTGTATCTGTGGATAGGAGATTGTACTAATTCCACCATGGAAGATCTGTCCTTCTCTTTTACATCAGACTTTGAAAAACATCCTATTGCGACCAAAATTATGGGTGCTGTAGCAGATGCTACATCTACAAACATAGCTAAGAGATTGAGCATAAAACTTGGAAAGCCAGTATATGTTAGTTTTAATGTAACAGCGGACAATATGTTATTGCTAGGGATTGAAAAAAGAATACAAGAAGAATTCAAGATACATAATAATTTATCAGACTTTGAGCATTAGCAGATAATTCTACAGGATTTATTTAAAGAACTTTTTATAGGTAATGAATACTTTCTATTGTCTATAATAAAAAAAAAATAGAAAGTACATATATGCTGTGTAAAATAAATAAATTATCTTCCCTTATTACACTAATAAATCTATAAATAGTACTTCAAAATTCTGTAAATAAGAAACATTACTCATCTTAATAGAGATACTAATAGTTTATCCATTCTTATATACTATTATATAATGAAAAATGAATACAAAGAAGTGAATAAAATTGTTTTCCGTCAATAGTTTTAAAGCGACGTGCAAACATGCGGAAGACCGTAATGCATAAATATAAGCATCATATTAAAAATTCAAATTACTTTTTTCTTAATTGCATATAATATATTAGTTGTCTCTTAATAATAATAGACATCAAATATAAAGCTATAGAATCAATTACTATCAATTGCTTTTTTGCCATTTTTTCAAATTTTAAATAATAATGATGACGTTTCAAATGCTTCAAATTTGAATCAGGCAAATATATGTTTGTACTCCGAACTGTGCCGAAAATATATAAATGCGCAATGATACCAGAACGAGGTCCCGGCGTCCCAGATCACCGGCTCGGCAGTAGAGGGGATAATCAAGCGTGAACCGTGTACATGTGATGCGCAGAGCGCTTTGCGCATCCATTCATTGTGTGGAATTTCGTACTGATATCAATGCGAATGCGTTGTACTGAGTGAAACACGTGGTTTGCCAGGTTATATATCATCATTCGTTTTTACAAAGTACAATCTTCTTTGATTACCACGTGTTTTGTGTGATTTTGAAATAATTAGTTATAACTTTTCGGAGTATAATCGTGCACAATGTTAATTCAGAAATTGTCGAAATTCTGTGAGCGAAATGAGAAGTATAAAGAAAGATTCTTTCCTTCTGAAGTAAATATTATTTCTGTAATATTGTTTAACGTATATTTAATCGTCGCATGTGTATTTTAAATTATTATTTATTAATCTTGATTGTCAGCGAATGTGTAAAATTAATAGATATAAATTAAATTCCTTGTTTATTTCTTTAGGAATTTCATCAAATCGAGCCTGACAGAATTTTAGAAACATTATGCGAATTTTTAATGCAGCCAGAGTGCACAGAAGATGTTGCTGACTGTTTTCCAGAATTGTTACCAGCACTTGTTTCAATGGCAATATCTACAGATGACATACAATCGTCCGCACTAATTGACAAAGATATTATTCATATATTGAATTGTGTTATACTAGGAAAACTGCTTCTAGTTAACCAGGATTTATTAAAAACGTATGTATTTATGGTATATATATATATATTTATTTCATGCATTGTGTCACAATCAACTTTTTATAATGAGAAATCTAATTTATATAACATTTTACAAACTTATATATTTTACAAGATTGTACAAGATTGACAAGCAATTGATTTTTGGTTTTGATGAAATATATTTTAATTTAATTTGACTTTTAATTAACTTTATTGATAATGAATGATATACATATATATGAATTAGATAAATATATAAAATTTTATGATATATATTGGGATGTTAAAATTTTGGAACTGGAAATATTCAGTTTTTATATTCTCCAGTTTAAAAGTCAGAAATTAAATATTAATATTTTTTTGCTAATATTAGAAAATAAATTATTGAATTTATCTTGTTGCATATATTTATAATACTAAGATTGTTTATACTAATATAGTTACACTAATTTATAGAATAATATATATATATATTTTTTTTTGTTATTTCAGATTTGTTTTACGCTATTTTGATGTTAATCCAGCACCATTTGAATTTAATGACACAGATAATTCTTCTCTTGAAACTGTTACTGCAAAAAGACGAAATACAAAGAAATTATCATACAATGTCTCTACAATATCTGAATATGACATTGTAATTGCATGTTATAATATTTTGCGGTCTGCTGTTAGCCATTTTAAACACAAGTGGAATTGGTCCAAATTTTATAAATATTTAACAAATGCAGATGATAGAGTAAAATGGTATGTACATTGCAATGAATTTACTAATAAAAGTTTTGACTTTTTAGAAAGAATAAGCAATATTAATATTTTAAGAGAATTTTAATTATTTTTTTCTATGATTGCTTCTGAAAATAAAAGACTTTCTTATTTGATTCCAGGACTGCCTTAAAATGTCTAGCAATAGTTTTGAACATGTCTGAATCAACAAGATTGTTGTGCGCACAAATATTTGTACCAAATTTTGACAAATTTCTGACTGATTATGAAGACAAGAAGACGGACACTAGAATTGCTTGTGCAAGCTTTGAGTCAATGGAAGATACAGTCAAAAATATCTCGTCTATTATATCTATCGGTGGCATCTTGTTACCAACTCTTGGGAAGAATCAAAGCTCCCATAATTTAGTTCCAGTCCCATCCATGATGAAAAATCTGCAAAGTTTGGCTATGGCCATTGGCTCCAAAAAATGTATTTGTTTGCAAGGACCAGTAGGCTGTGGTAAGACAGCTCTGGTAGAGTATTTAGCCAAAGTCACTGGACACGATATGTCAAATTTTGTCAAGGTGCAACTAGGCGATCAGACTGACTCGAAGATGCTACTGGGAATGTACAGATGTACTGATGTGCCTGGTGAATTCGTTTGGCAACCGGGTGTTCTCACGCAAGCGGTTGTTGCCGGCAAATGGTTGTTATTAGAAGACATAGACAGCGCTGCTCTAGATGTAGTCAGCGTTCTAAGCAACTTGATGGAAACAGGAACACTCTGTGTACCCGGCTATCGCGATACCGTTTACGCCAATAGTGGATTTCAGTTGTTCGTTACTCGGCGATTAATGATATCAACCACGGGCATTCAGAAGCATGTCACAGGATCTTTGAGTTTATTGCAGAAACATTGGCTGTGTCTAAACGTGGAACCTTTATCCAAAGATGAATTAGTTATTGTAGTCAAAACATTATTTCCAGTACTGAGCACTATCGCTACTAGAATAGTAGATGTGTTCTTGTTGTTTTCTGTAGGACATCATGATAGTGAAAATGATGCAAATAATGCTATAGCATCATTAAAGATTGGGCGACAGACATCGACACGGGATTTAATAAAGTGGTGTTCCAGAGCTATCATCGATTTTGATGTATCATCGCCAAATTCTGCATTAAAAATATATCAGGATGCTTTGGATGTCTTTTGCTATTCGGTTCCTAATGAAAGTATGTTTTTATCTATTTTCTACTTTCTTTTTTTATAATATGACATTGAGGTAACTATATTTAAAAGCATTTTAATTATATGTCATTGAATATTACGATTTTTTTTATAGACCAACGATTAAACTTGGCCAAAATGGTGGCTTGCAAACTCGGCATTATAGAGACTAAAGCAGAATACTTCTGCAACTTCCACAAGCCTTCCATAGATTTGCATTACAATGTTCTGATAGCGGGTAGAGTGCAGCTGCTTCGCAAGAAAGTGTCATATTCACAGAAAATGTATGAAAATACCAATTTTTCGTTTACAAGACTTTCTGCGTGTTTATTAGAGCGCATAGCTAGCTGCATCATGCTAAAAGAGCCTGTCCTGCTCGTCGGTGAAACGGGTACTGGAAAAACAAGTGCAATACAATATTTGGCAAGGAGTACTAATCACAAGTTAACAATTATAAATATGAATCAGCAAAGTGAGAGTGTCGATTTATTAGGTGGCTACAAACCAATTGATTTAAAGGTCCACATCTTACCTATTCTAAAGGAATTTGAGGAATTGTTTCACTTTTATTTTGTGGTAAAATCAAACAAGAACTACTTAGATAGCATAACCTTGTGTTACGAGCAGCAGAAATGGGATAAACTTATTGATAAAATGCTGATAAGTACACATTCTGGTGTAAGGATACAGAAAGAAAGGCTAACAAAGTTATTAGAAGATTTTAAGCTTAAAAAAGATGACGTGATACATTCCAGACTAATCGATCATCTAAATATGCTGAAAAAGTGGAAGAAGATACGGGGTAAACTTTATAAACTGAAAGTTCAAGTGAAGAATCAATATGCATTCTCTTTCATGGAAGGTAGTTTGATCAAGGCTTTGCGGAATGGCGATTGGGTTCTCTTAGACGAGATTAATTTGGCGAGCGCGGAGACGCTGGAATGTCTCTCCGGTTTGCTGGAAAGTTCTTCGGAGTCGCTGTTGTTGCATGAGCACGGCGGAGGTGAGCCTGTGAAAAGACATCCTGACTTCACAGTGTTCGCCTGCATGAATCCGGCTACAGACATCGGTAAGAAAGATCTACCGGTCGGTTTGAGGAATAGATTCACTGAGTTCTACATTGACGAACTAACCGCAATACCGGATCTTCGGGTGCTCGTGAATTCTTATTTGAAAACTCTGCATATGCCTATGAAGATACACGAGGAGATCGTGAAATTCTATTTGAATGTGAGAAAGGAAGCTACGAACACGTTGTCCGACGGTACGGCGCACAAACCACATTACAGTCTTAGGACTCTCTGTCGCGCATTGTATATTTCTGCATCGAATCCGTGCGGCAATTTTCAGAGATCTGTGTACGAAGCTTTCTCTTTAAGTTTCCTGACGCAGTTAGATTATAACTCGTATTCAATTGTGCAGCAAATGATCACGAAAGCTATCTTGCATGATCAGAACGTCAAAGCCTTCCTTGGCAATCGCATACCGAATCCGAAGTGCAGTCTGAGCGAGGAATACGTGTGTATCGAAGGATATTGGGTTCTTCAAGGAAGTTTAACACCTGAAATACCTAGCAATTACATACTGACTGATTCCATCAGTAGAAATTTGAAAGACTTGGCGAGAGCGGTGTCGATCGGGAAAATCCCAGTTTTATTACAAGGTGACACATCGGTAGGGAAGACCAGTTTGATTACTTATCTGGCGAAGACTACAGGACATGTCTGTGTCCGAATAAACAATCACGAGCATACAGATTTAGAGGAGTATGTCGGAAGTTATATCGCGGACGAAACTGGTAAGCTGATGTTCAAAGAAGGAGTTTTAGTTGATGCAATGCGTAAAGGATATTGGATTATTTTGGACGAGTTAAATTTAGCCCCAAGCGATGTCTTGGAAGCTTTAAATCGAGTCCTTGATGACAACAGAGAACTCTTCATACCCGAGACGCAACAAGTCGTGAAAGCGCACAAACATTTTATGCTATTCGCTACACAGAATCCTCCTGGTCTTTACGGCGGTCGAAAAGTTCTATCCCGAGCGTTCAGAAACCGATTCGTAGAATTACACTTTGATGAGATACCGCCGAATGAATTACAGACAATACTTCACAAGAGATGCCATATGCCCGAGTCATATTGCAAACAAATAATTAATGTAATGACGGAGCTTCAAATAAAACGTAAAAGTACAGCAACTTTTGCTGGTAAAAAGGGATTTATAACTTTGCGAGATCTGTTTCGTTGGGGTGAGAGGTATAAATTAGCAAAAGTAAACAACAAATTTTACGATTGGAATCAACATATGGCGGACGAAGGTTACCTCGTTCTCGCATCTAAAGTCCGCCGAGCGGAAGAAGCGGACCAGATAAGACAAGTACTAAAAAAGCATATGAAGAAAGACGTGGTACCTGACCATTTGTTCACACTAAACGACAAGACTTCGCCTGTAACGAGACACATTTTGGAGGAGATCTTGAACAACAAGATCTCGGGCTTCGATCACATCGTGTGGACTTATCATATGCGTAGAATGGCGGTATTGGTAAAGAAATCTTGCCAATTCAAGGAACCGGTGCTTCTAGTCGGCGAGACCGGCGGAGGCAAAACGACTATCTGCCAATTGATCGCCGCTATTAACGGTCAAACTATGCGTAGCGTTAATTGTCACATGCACATCGAATCATCTGATTTTCTGGGAAATCTACGACCAGTTCGAGAGAGGACCGAAGGTGATCAGAGGCTCTTCGAGTGGGTGGACGGTTCTCTGATAAATGCAATGCGTAATGGCGATCTGTTTTTAGCCGATGAAATCTCATTGGCCGATGATAGCGTTCTGGAGCGATTAAATTCATTGTTGGGTGAGTATAAGCCGCGAATGGCAAATTAGATGAAAATATGTAGAAAGAAAACAATTTTACATGTGTCTTTAAATATAAGAAATTCAAAGCAGATAATGGCAATGGTGATTAAATTTTATGATAAAAACTTGAAAAATAAAAGAACACAGAATTTAATTCGTTTTATTATTACGAAACACACACACACACACACAGTAAACTTTATAAACTGAAAGTTCAAGTGAAGAATCAATATGCATTCTCTTTCATGGAAGGTAGTTTGATCAAGGCTTTGCGGAATGGCGATTGGGTTCTCTTAGACGAGATTAATTTGGCGAGCGCGGAGACGCTGGAATGTCTCTCCGGTTTGCTGGAAAGTTCTTCGGAGTCGCTGTTGTTGCATGAGCACGGCGGAGGTGAGCCTGTGAAAAGACATCCTGACTTCACAGTGTTCGCCTGCATGAATCCGGCTACAGACATCGGTAAGAAAGATCTACCGGTCGGTTTGAGGAATAGATTCACTGAGTTCTACATTGACGAACTAACCGCAATACCGGATCTTCGGGTGCTCGTGAATTCTTATTTGAAAACTCTGCATATGCCTATGAAGATACACGAGGAGATCGTGAAATTCTATTTGAATGTGAGAAAGGAAGCTACGAACACGTTGTCCGACGGTACGGCGCACAAACCACATTACAGTCTTAGGACTCTCTGTCGCGCATTGTATATTTCTGCATCGAATCCGTGCGGCAATTTTCAGAGATCTGTGTACGAAGCTTTCTCTTTAAGTTTCCTGACGCAGTTAGATTATAACTCGTATTCAATTGTGCAGCAAATGATCACGAAAGCTATCTTGCATGATCAGAACGTCAAAGCCTTCCTTGGCAATCGCATACCGAATCCGAAGTGCAGTCTGAGCGAGGAATACGTGTGTATCGAAGGATATTGGGTTCTTCAAGGAAGTTTAACACCTGAAATACCTAGCAATTACATACTGACTGATTCCATCAGTAGAAATTTGAAAGACTTGGCGAGAGCGGTGTCGATCGGGAAAATCCCAGTTTTATTACAAGGTGACACATCGGTAGGGAAGACCAGTTTGATTACTTATCTGGCGAAGACTACAGGACATGTCTGTGTCCGAATAAACAATCACGAGCATACAGATTTAGAGGAGTATGTCGGAAGTTATATCGCGGACGAAACTGGTAAGCTGATGTTCAAAGAAGGAGTTTTAGTTGATGCAATGCGTAAAGGATATTGGATTATTTTGGACGAGTTAAATTTAGCCCCAAGCGATGTCTTGGAAGCTTTAAATCGAGTCCTTGATGACAACAGAGAACTCTTCATACCCGAGACGCAACAAGTCGTGAAAGCGCACAAACATTTTATGCTATTCGCTACACAGAATCCTCCTGGTCTTTACGGCGGTCGAAAAGTTCTATCCCGAGCGTTCAGAAACCGATTCGTAGAATTACACTTTGATGAGATACCGCCGAATGAATTACAGACAATACTTCACAAGAGATGCCATATGCCCGAGTCATATTGCAAACAAATAATTAATGTAATGACGGAGCTTCAAATAAAACGTAAAAGTACAGCAACTTTTGCTGGTAAAAAGGGATTTATAACTTTGCGAGATCTGTTTCGTTGGGGTGAGAGGTATAAATTAGCAAAAGTAAACAACAAATTTTACGATTGGAATCAACATATGGCGGACGAAGGTTACCTCGTTCTCGCATCTAAAGTCCGCCGAGCGGAAGAAGCGGACCAGATAAGACAAGTACTAAAAAAGCATATGAAGAAAGACGTGGTACCTGACCATTTGTTCACACTAAACGACAAGACTTCGCCTGTAACGAGACACATTTTGGAGGAGATCTTGAACAACAAGATCTCGGGCTTCGATCACATCGTGTGGACTTATCATATGCGTAGAATGGCGGTATTGGTAAAGAAATCTTGCCAATTCAAGGAACCGGTGCTTCTAGTCGGCGAGACCGGCGGAGGCAAAACGACTATCTGCCAATTGATCGCCGCTATTAACGGTCAAACTATGCGTAGCGTTAATTGTCACATGCACATCGAATCATCTGATTTTCTGGGAAATCTACGACCAGTTCGAGAGAGGACCGAAGGTGATCAGAGGCTCTTCGAGTGGGTGGACGGTTCTCTGATAAATGCAATGCGTAATGGCGATCTGTTTTTAGCCGATGAAATCTCATTGGCCGATGATAGCGTTCTGGAGCGATTAAATTCATTGTTGGGTGAGTATAAGCCGCGAATGGCAAATTAGATGAAAATATGTAGAAAGAAAACAATTTTACATGTGTCTTTAAATATAAGAAATTCAAAGCAGATAATGGCAATGGTGATTAAATTTTATGATAAAAACTTGAAAAATAAAAGAACACAGAATTTAATTCGTTTTATTATTACGAAACACACACACACACACACACTTATTAGTAATTGTTCTATGTATAGAACCGGAACGTAGTCTTCTATTGACCGAGAGAGGAATCGAATCCTCACATGGTGAAGAAAACGCTGTAATCGTGGCGGACGAGAAATTTGTATTTATTGGTACAATGAATCCCGGCGGTGATTACGGTAAGAAGGAGCTCTCGCCGGCCTTGCGGAATCGCTTCACCGAGGTGTGGTGCGAAGGATGTATGGCAAGGAGCGATTGGCACGACATAATAGTGCACAATCTCCGCGTCGATTCGCAACAGACGAGAGAGTCCATCGCCACCGCGATATTGAGATTCACTGAATGGTTACACACGACCGAAGTGGGCAAGAAGCTTACCGTGAGCATACGAGATGTGCTCACTTGGGTCGATTTCATAAACATATGCACTCAATGCGATGCACTCATATCAAGACTGACAGTCGGAGAAGCGTATTATCACGGTGCTTGTCTCACGTACATCGATAGCCTCGGATCCGGCTGCACAGGCTCGGAAAGGTAAGCATTTTATATTAGTAAATAATATTAATCTAGTATATAAAAATTTTGGATAAATTAAATTTGTTAAATTTTACTAAAGGAATCTCTTGCATAAAGAATTTAATTTATTAAGATTTATTAAATTTTATCAAATTAAATTACTTGTTAATTTTACATTGAATAGAAAATACATAAATTCTATCGTGATTATATCATGTTTTAATGTGACGCTAACATTTACTTTAATGCAACAAAAAATTCAATATCTAACGATTAAATATTATTTATTATTAGCAATAGCAAATTGAGGGATTTTACAAAGGCAGCTCTCCGATTTATTAAATCAGAAGTTGAAAATACTATAAGATCTGATCTTGATATGGAAACCTCTCGAGTAAACGAAAAAGTCGTTATGGATGATTCGGACGTATTTGGCATATCGCCTTTTTATATCAAGAAAGGTCCGCACATCTCTTCCGAAAATAACGTTTTTACATTTACAACTCCCGTTACAAAGCTGAATACGTTGAAACTGTTAAGAGCATTGCAATTGAGTAAACCGATCCTGCTGGAAGGAAGTCCAGGTGTAGGAAAAACCAGTCTGGTTTCCGCACTCGCCAAAGCCGCAGGACAGACTTTGCTTAGAATCAATTTAAGCGACCAAACGGTACGTGTCATAAAAAGCGACACACGAGTTTCAGCATCGTCATTAAAGTAACATATATTGTGTTGACAATTAATATAAATGACATCTTTTACAGGACGTATCCGATTTGTTTGGCGCCGATCTTCCCGTAGAAGGTGGAAAAGGTGGTGAATTCGCATGGCGAGATGGGCCGTTTTTGCAAGCTTTGCGGGCCGGATATTGGATCTTACTCGATGAATTAAATCTAGCTTCGCAATCGGTCCTGGAAGGCCTTAACGCCTGCTTCGATCATAGGGGAGAGATATACATTCCCGAACTAGGGAAGACGTTCTCGGTTAAACCTGGGACAAGGTTGTTTGGCTGTCAAAATCCCTTGCGGCAAGGGGGAGCCAGACGAGGATTACCGAAGTCTTTTTTAAATAGATTTACTCAGGTACTATTTACAGAACTTGGTATAATATTATCAAAATATAACTTCTGTATTCTAAGATTATTATTTTTATAGGTTTTCGTAGAGGCATTAATGGAGGACGACTTGAAATTTATACTTAATGTGCAATTTCCACAAGTTCCCGTAGACTTGATCAATAATATGGTACAATTCAATAGTAAATTAACATCGGAAATTGGCGTTGTGTGGGGACACGCCGGATCTCCGTGGGAAATGAATCTGCGAGATATCACTCGATGGTGTGAGACAACTATCAAAGCTGCTTTTAACAAATTTCGTGGCGATAAACAGTATTTTAATCCGGGTGATTGTATGGAACTTATTTATGTTAATAGAATGAGGACTAATGAAGATCAGCAAAAGGTAAGTTCATCAATATCACAGATTAAAATATGTAAAATTGTCTCTCTTTAGCATTATATAATATTTTTTATATTATGGATTTATATTGCAGATCTATCATATATATCAAGAAATGTTCTCGCTCGAAAAATATCCGCTCCCACCTAATCAACTGCCGATGTACATCACGGCAGATAAACTTTTTATCGGCGATGTAACATTGAGACGGAAAAATTGCTGCGCAGATGAGGAATGCAATTTGTTAGTACTCAGAGATCAGAGAACGGTATTAAAGAGCCTTATGCAATGTGTTAAGATGAATTGGATGTCTATACTTGTATGTTTATTTATTATATTGATTCATATATATCTTCTATTAGAATTTTTCATCTTTGGTTAACTAATCGTATTTTAAACTTAATATTATAGGTTGGTCCTTCAGGTTGTGGGAAGAGCAATGTGGTTCGTCTACTTGCTGCTTTAACGGGTCAGAAGCTGAGGTCAATAGCTGTGAACTCTGCGATGGACACGACAGAGATATTAGGTGGCTTCGAACAGGTAAGTGACAACGTGAGACAGATAATTAAATATTTTTTCTAACAATGCGTATATATATAATATCGTGAAAAATAATGATGAAGTTATGAAGAAAATGAAAGAAAATGATCAAACTTTTGTTAAATAATTAACTATATAAGTATAAAGCCAAATTAAAAACATATCACCTCTTTCGTGATATTTTAAACACATGGTGTTGTCATTTGATAGAAAGACAAACATGTGATTACATATATTACACAGATCTTTATTTCAAATATGTGAGCAGGATTTTATATACATTTAAATATAATGCATTTTTTCTCTCTTTTCCTTTCTGACAAGGATTTATGATTTATGAATTATATAGCTTGTATGGTGTCGCATATTTTGCTGCCATTTACAGCAATTTTTCAGACATTATTTGCTTAAAAATATTCTTAATAATACTTTTCCCTGACGAGATTATTTAGAATAATTCGCTCCAGTGCTTTTGCTTTCAAGCACGCTTTAAAAAAAATAATTTTGATAGCAATTTCAAGATATTTGTTATTAAGAGAAAGCGAAATCAAAGTAGGCTGAATTAAATAAATCTGATCCTAAAATAATCGCGTTATAAAATTTTAAATACATATATTCTATACACAGGGGTTAAATGTACTATATTATTCCGATAAATTTCAAATTTAGCCAGATATAATTCCAAATTTTACATTCAATTCGTTGAGAAACAAAATATCAATGATAAAATATGTGTGTGTGTGTGTGTGTGTGTGTGTGCTAACTAACAGTAAGATAGCATTGTTGCAAAAATAAGTTGTACAGTACATCAAACATAAATTTAATTATGGCAGCATCGAAATTTTCCATTTAGATGCATCTTTTCGTATATTTTTTATATATTTGAATATTTTTTCGTTCTCTTGATATTGCGTATATAAAATTACAATAAAAAATGTCGGTCTCATTCTGACATTTTCTCTTACGCGTATTTTACATTAATTTACATTGGACATTTATTACATATGATATTCCTATGAAGAAAGTGTGATAGTTACGATAGTTAATTGACTTGTATTCAAGCAGCATTTTTCGTACGCTGCTTTTAACAACACATTTACGGCAAATAAAGAAAGATAGGAGGATTGAGTGAGGAATTAATCTCACGTAATTTTAACAAACATTAACAGTTGTCACATAATATTACACATAATATACTGCATACTCGTTTTCAAATACGTGACACTACATTGATATGCTTTTCACTATACAATAAGAAATATTCTCTATATACTAACACTTTTAATATATTTTTAATATACATAATATATGTATATTTTAATAAAACCAATAATATACATATTTTGGTAATCCCAAAAAAAAAATTATGATAATTTCGATTTCTTTTATTGGACTTATAAATAATATAAGACATTGAGAAAAATGTCCGTTAACAAATTTTATGTTTGAATTTTACTCTTCGTATATTTTTCTTACAATTAAAACAGTAATTATTTTACTTCAAAAAATGATCATGATTTGCCAACTGTGATGTAATACAATGACGATATAGCTTGATATGAAAAATTTTTCTTACACAAAATCGCTATTTTTCATTGTCCTTATAATTAGAAGTTAGATTTTTAACTGGTATGAAATACATCTTTCTCTGTGCTTTAAAAAAATTACACGACATAAAAATTTAAATTATTTGATCGAACTATTTAGCTTCTAATAATTCTGTTGATTTCTCGAGATAGAATAGAATATATAATAGAAAAAGTGCGAAGATTCAAAAAATGGGCATCTTAATAAATATTCTTATTATTGATATGATTATCTTTCTTATTATATTATTTAATTAATATATTGTTATATTTAAATAATTGCAGATATAAATTGTAAACCAAACTGAAGATGTTGCTAATTAAAATTTTAAAAGCTGGGTTTCGAACTTTGATAAACCGTCCCGATATAACAGATATGATTTGACAAGAGATGGCGCGATTAAAATTTAAGCGCGAATTTTTAAAATACTTTTTTCCATATATTCGTATATCAATTTTTATCAATACCACATCTGCATTTTTAAAAGTCTGAAATTGATAAAACTTATTAACATATTGATAATAAAGAACACTGTGATAATGCCACACATATTTATTCCAGATAGATATCGATTGAATTTTTGTCCACATGTCCTAACCATGCTATACAACACAGAGTGATCTCCAATGACTCCTAATGTATACGTGTGGATTTTTATATAAAAGCTGACTATTTTAATTATTTATATTATGTATTATTTATGCGCGATAATTAATCCCGTAACGAAGAGAATGACCTTTTATAAATTCATTCGCTTGTACAATCAGTTTAGCAACAACAAACCTGCTAATTTAATCAGGAAAGAATTTTTACCAACTGTGATGTAATACAATGACGATATATAGCTTGATATGAAAAATTTTTCTTACACAAAATCGCTATTTTTCATTGTCCTTATAATTAGAAGTTAGATTTTTAACTGGTATGAAATACATCTTTCTCTGTGCTTTAAAAAAATTATACGACATAAAAATTTAAATTATTTGATCGAACTTTGATCATTTTTAAGTTCGATTAATTGAGTTTTGGTTAGTTCTAATTTCTTAATATTATGATTTTTTCTCGTCTTATTCTCTCGAGTTTTTCGTTTAAAGTTTGTCATTTTTTAATACATTCTTTAATATTATTTATGTTAATTTATTCGATATCATAATTTCTTGGGGAGGATTCCTTGAAATATGTTTGGGTCTTTCTTCATTATAATAGTAAGATGAGTAAAATTTGAAACATGCGGGGGAATAGGCGGATATTGCTTTCAATTCGCAGTTTAATGAAAAATATAACAATAATTTTGCATAATCTTATTTTGGAAATAAAAATTGAATTCCAATTAAAAATAATTAATACGAATTACCAAAAAAGAATTAATAGCAAATACATATTTGCAATAGTAAATGAAATATTATGGAAAAATTGTTTACACGTACGTTTGCATAAGTTTTCATATAAGTAAGTAAGGGTCATAAGTATTCCCATTTTTGCAGAATAAATAAATAATAAGGCCGTCTATCTATATTTCCTTTTTCTTACAACGCTATTTCTCATTTGCATAAAACAAAAATGTCGATGTAATGCATAGTTAAATCAGCGAAACGCTGATACATTGTGCGATTGCAACGGGTGCAGTCTCTAAAATCTCGCATAGAAAATATATATGTAATTTAATATATATAATATATGTTCTCGAGAGAAGATTGAGTCCCCAGATGAAAAAGCTCACACGGTAGTGCTATTTTACGAAAGATTGCACATCCAATCGTTATATACATCTAGTAAATGCACCTACGCGAAGGAAGGGATTGTAAATCCTTTTCTTTTAATTACACTTTCTAATATGTGTTGTTTTTTTCTGCCTTGTAAATATGTTTGGGTCTTTCTTCATTATAATAGTAAGATGAGTAAAATTTGAAACATGCGGGGGAATAGGCGGATATTGCTTTCAATTCGCAGTTTAATGAAAAATATAACAATAATTTTGCATAATCTTATTTTGGAAATAAAAATTGAATTCCAATTAAAAATAATTAATACGAATTACCAAAAAAGATTCTTTCCATTTTTTTTTTTTTTTTTTTTTTTACAGAAAATATAGCTGAAAAAGCAGATTATAAATTATACACAATTATTTAACATTTTTAAGTTATCATACATATCGCGTGATTTCTATCTATAAACATAATATACATATATATCTTTTTTATATACATACATCTATTAGTGACATTATATAGGACGAAGACTAGGACGTTCATAAGCAATCACAGATATATTCAGATGATGCCCAGTTGATTAAATTTTTTTCTTTGCGATCTCTATCGTATTTTTTTTCTTACTTAGTTGATTTTGTGACAACATGCGCACAATAAAAAATAATTATATTCCAACTTTTATTTTAAATTATATACGGAATTGATGAACGGTTTATAATAACAAGTAAAGACTTTCATTGTTTAGTATACAAGATGTCCCAAAGTGTGTATTAAATTGGTGTAAAATTTGATTTTTACTGCCAATTGTATTATTAAAGTTTTATTTTCCATTATCTAATTTTCAACTAATTAATAATTATAGTAATATTACTTGCTGTAATATTGCTTATCATCTAAAATTTTATGATTATTTCTGGGACATCCCGAGAGAGCGATAAAAATTACATTGTTTCGATAAAAATTTTTGAAAGTGATTCTAGCCACAAATTTGCGAAAAATGGAATAGTATGCATTTTTGAAACACGGCAATGCTATTTCTCAGGTATAAAAGTAATATTTAGTAATTATAAAGCATATTTAGTAATTATTTCGACTGACAATTTTGGACGTGAGAATTGTATAAATTGACATGGACGTAAATACGAATTTTGTGAAAAAAATCAGTCTGTCGATATTTTTAAGTCTAATATGCGTGCATCTCATAAAAGTACAAATAAACATATACATCAAGTCTTCAATTATTTTTTAAATTCAGGATGCATTATCCTTATGATTAATCTTATACTGCATGATGTCTCGCTCTTTGACATCACAGAAAATCATTTTATTCGTTGCAACCTAATTTACGATTTGATTTGAATTAAATTAAATTTACAATGAAGTTCCAATGTAATTGGCTCTATTGATATTACTGTTAAAAACTAAAAATAAAAAGCTTTACAGATGTTTTCAAGAGCAATCGCGTAAATGCAAATATTTGTGATGTCTTCGCTGATACATACATGTAATATATTAATTCTCTTGGTTAAAAAATAGTTAGATGACGCAATATTTATAGTAAACGATTCATTTGATTTCGGCTTTATCGACAATATAAATATCTGATTAGAATATATAATGTTCTAGGAGAGGATCTTAAAGGAAGGTTTCTTCCCGAAAAATTTATTTTTATCATTTTGCGATTATTTTTTCTTTTTTTTTTACATTGTAGCCAATTAACGTCGTCACGTTTCCTGGTGCGTTGTTAATTTTTTTTTTATAATTAGTTTGCTTGTTCATTCGCTGGGCAAGTCACTACTTGTCGGACTCATTTGGAGATCGTTCAATTCTGTAGGTGGGGGCAGCAGGAGGCTCGGTCTCCTGGACAGTTCCTCTTCGTAAAGGCTGGAGGTGCTTTTCGGTCTTGAAGTCAAACTCCAGGGGTCGGGTACCACGATAGAGTTGTCCTGTAGAATAATTATATATTTGTACGCGTTTAACACATGCTTAATTAATAAAATATTCGTATGATAAAAGAGTCGTATAAAAAATCAATATTTTTGAAAAGGGAGATATCAAGGAAAATTAGTCTTCAAGTAATTAAAGACCAATCTTCAAGTGATTAAGACGATTCTCTTTGAGTCATTAAAGACCAATCTTTAAGTCATTAAGAACAAATTCCGCGATAAGTTTCGGCGATTATTCGACCGAGTGTCCTACCACCAGTAAGTGTTTGGCAGTCGGTGGCAGGGGTGGTTTTAGGAGCGCCACATCGGTAAGATTGCATCCTGACGGCGCAACCGACGCCGCCAGGGGTGGATCCGGCGGCGAGGGTAGATTCATCGGCGCCTCGTATCGGGGTAACGTGACATTTTGTATCGGACTAGTAGCGGCGGATCCGAGGATCCATCGGGCTATACTTTCGCAGCAGCCGCAACACACGTCCGACATGCCCTGCCGCAATCCCCGATGTAGGGCGAGGAACAGAGCCGGGTTTACAAAGGCATGGACATACGCAATGTGCAAAGTCACCTGGTATAACAAACCACGAAACCCGGTGATTTAGATGCAGTATATAATAGTACGATATAAATTGTGAATGCAAATCTACAAACACCGATGCAAAATTAGATAACGGCGTAGTCATAAATTGGAAAGGGAAGTTATAGAAACAGAAAAACTAGTATTTTATTCTAAAGTATAAAAAAAGAATTATAGCAAAAATTATTTATATGAATGATAAAAATATATTTAATTATTAATAGATTTCTATTTAAGATAAACAAAGATTATATTTAAAAGAGGTTTATCAAAGCACTCTATAAAATTTATACGTGGAAAAATGTTAAAATTTATCTAGTTAGGAAATAATAAGAATCATCTTTCTACGTTTCTTCATTGCGTCGCAATTTTTGCTTCATCAAAATATCGGGAGTCTATTGAGAAGATTAAATGCAGCTATTTCGTGCATCTGCTACGACACTGCATCAGCAAAATCGCTGTGCGATGCCGTTGAGTTTTTCGACATGCACTTGCTTCTTTGGAAAATTTATATTCTCGTAGAAAGATTCTCGTGGAAGAAACTCTCCGCTCGTAGAATCGTGCGAATTCGCTCGACCGACTTGCAATTCATGATCAGTCGTGTATTGGTACGATCGAACAAGTTTCGTTTTCATGTCTTGTGTCTCTTCGCGAACTTTTCGATTTATTTCTATCGCGGTTTTGTATTGAAAATCAAATCAATGTCGTTCGACAAGCTTTATGATATTTCGCATACGGGTGTTTTAGAAATTGTATCGTGCCAAATTATAATAGTAATTATGAGTAATTATGAGTAAAAAGCGCGCGAATATCCTAATTGAAAGAGAAGATTTATATTCGCGTGTTGATATTGCCAGTGCGCACGGATGTACAATTGCAAATGACAAGTAATGACCGACATGTTTACAGAGCATAAATATCGATAGTGTCTAAATTTTATAAAAGCCAACAGCAGATACAAACTTCCCATTATTTAATCCCGCCGATGATCTATTCATTCTAATTACCTCGTAGCCTGTAGGATTGCCTATAATAGGATGGTGCACCAAGGTAACGAAAAACAATGGTCCCCAAAATATGACGTACGCTGCCGTTATGACCAGGAACATTTTCACTCTTTGCACGCCTTCGCGTTCCATCCTTCTGAGGTAATTCCTCATTTTTCGATGCTCTTCGACGGCGCCTGTCCTCTGAAATATATCGAGATGCCGTTTCTGAATAATTTTAAATTTTTATGCGCCTTTGATACTCGCCTGCCGCTTTCATCGTCATCTCTTGCTTGACACATATGTTCAATTCTGTTTGTATTTGTAAAGCGTGAGAAACAATGAGCGTAGAGAAACAATTTAGACTTTGATAATTATTAGCGATATTTAAAATTAGACGTTGATAATTATTAACGATATTTAAAATTAGAAAAACACTAAATTATGTAAATTATGGATTGAAATAAAAATGACGATTTAGCAAAAAGTTTCTATTTTTGGAAAATTTAATTTTTAATATATAAAGAGACGTTTTATGCGTGGAAAATTATTAATATAATGACTTACTTTCGGCGTTGTACCGTTTCTCGTGTTAACTACACCATCTTCGGTTGCAAGCGCGTTGGTTGCACCCTGATGTCCGCCTGTCACATTAACGAGCGTTGTGACGAGACCAGCTACTCGTACCTGGACATAAACGCGATTGTATAAAAGCAGAAGAGATTTATTAATGTTTGAAAAACGTATTTTAAAAACGTATAAAAAAAAGTATGAAAGTATAAATCATCTAAAATTTTATTCCTTTTTATAAGTTAATGTTATATTTTTATTAGCATATTTTATACATAAATTTTTATTATTCTGTAACTTTATACATATATATTTTTATTAGCATAAATATAAGTTTCAATAATTATATATTTATAACGATACTTTGATTATTAATATATATGATTTTTGCTCACCGCTTCGACATTAGCTTTTGTCAGATCCCTGTGTAATTTTCTCAAATGAAAGAGCGTGAGCGCCACGCAAATGATGTTGATGACAATCCAGAGTACGTTGAGTATATAATGACGGAAAGGACCATGTATCAACGGGCAACTAGGCGCATTGTGCCCGCTCTCTGTGTTGGCCGCTAAGGCCCCGCTGAGAAACGTAGGTCCCAGGTTTATCGTTATGCTGGCGAACCAGATCATGAAAGTGCCAAAGAGCACGCACTGCAAACAATAAAAAAGCCTTTGAAAAAATTCGCGAAAAAGGACTTTCCCATTCATGTGATATTTCTTCCGAGTTTCACAAATTTCTCAAGGTTGTAATGCTTCGCGAATTGTACGAATTCTTTCTCGTTTATAGAAGATTTTTCAAATAACGATTTTTTGAACATTTTTATGAAGATAGATAAACATGAATCTTGTTTTTGGGGGAAAAATATAGAAATAGTTGTTTTAATTAATTAATTAATTTAAATTAATTATATTTTAAATATCTTCTTTGCGAGTCCCTATAAAACTTTTTATCTTTTTTTTTTTTTAAGTAAGAGAACACATGAAAAATAAGTTATTATTGTTCTTATCTATTAATAAGATACAATACACAAATTGTGTCTTAATTAAAGTACTTGATGCCATGCAAAAAAGTTTCCGGTTAGTTTCACAAATATTCACACAACCGAGGTTATTTCAATCTAATTATTTAATCAACGCTAATAATTTGTATAAACTTATACAACATAATTAAAGATAAATTTAAATTTACAAATTTATATTAAATGCAGCGCATTGTGGTATTTGATTCATTATTTGCAACATAATAGGATTTTTATATAATTATAAATAATACTTTTATATAATTATAAATTTGTTTGTGCAGTGCAAAACAAACTCACAACACACATACATTTTATTCGAGTAAACGCAGTTTAATTTAGAATATTATGATTGGTTTGTAATACGAGTTTACAATAATCCCATGTCTTCGTTTACACTCTAAAGCGGTCCGTTAAATCCTGTAATCCGCAATTGATCGTAAAGAGTAGAGACCACTCTGTCGGAGCCAAGTGTTGATCAAATACTGTTACAATCATTCATCGCAGATAATGCAAAAAAATATTACTTTAAGTTTTTCTTGTTTTATCGAAAATATCGAAATAAATTTTTATTTGTCACAAATTTTAATATTTCAACGTTGAATATCTTGATAACTATATCGCAAGAATCAAAATTCTTATAAATTCCATTTTAAATTAAATATCCAATAATTTTTTTATTATTTATTTGTGGTATAATAATTTGTTTTGTGAAAAATTATAATAAATTATACTGAAACGAATTATATTAAGACCGCTGTTGCAATTTTCTCGCGTGTATATTAATAGGCATCTCGCGTGTTAACGAACCGTCGTATCATTAAAATTTAGTTACAAAAACGAGTCGACTATTGCTTGATGTACAAGTTATCGCGTCAAATTAATTTGAAACCGACTGCTACTACATGCGACCAAGAAAGCCGAATCGTTGGGGAATTAATTGCACTAATTTAATGTCAATATATAAGATCTTTCGTAAGATTCGCATCAAATTTTAGAGGCGTACAATCTGGCGAATTTGAGAATAAATGATTTTTTTTGGTGCAAAAGTTCTGTCATTCTTTCTGGCGATTTTCGAATTCAATATGTTGGTAGATAAGTTGAACTAAAAATTTTCTTAAAGCAAAATTTGTTTTGCATCGAATGAGAAATTAGATAGAAATACGGACACTTTTTTTAATAATTTAGATTAAATTAAATTAGACAACACTTGCATATTAAAACATTATTTCTCACACACACACACACACACACACATATTTTATTTAATATAGTTATATTTGAATATTTATTATAAATTAACGTAAAAAGTTATTTTAGAATGGATTAAAAACCATTTTTTATGTTCTTTTTTGCGAATGATTAATTCGACTTTTTAAAGGGACTTTATATTTTTAGCTAAGATTGTGTAAGCATTAATGTCTTTCTGCGACGGCGCGATTAATTTTCCTTTGAAAAATTTGGTTCATTTCGACAGTCCGCGCTGCGTAATGCAGACAGTTTGCACCGCAATCAGTCACCACTAAATTCGTCATCGCAATGCTGCGGTTAGATGGAAATTTCTCTCATTTCGAATGCGAGATGGATGCCGTTTGCGTTAGCCAAAGTCACACGATTTATTCATACATCAATGTTTTTGATCAATTGCTTGCCATAAGCAAACAGATATAAATTAACTTGAGTCAATACCGATTTAAAGTGGTATATTTTATTAGGTAAACATTTATCGTAGAGATTCGACAATTATTCAATAAATTATAAAAATACGATTGCAATAAATATTTCAATCTTAATATTGACGAACTCAGCAACATACAATAAAAATGCAATAGAAATATTATGACAGAGAAATATTAAATGCGGGATTGAGATTTGAAAATTGAAGATTAGAAGTTGCGAGTTGTGAACTAGAAGAGCTCAAGGTTAAGAACTGCGACAGCAAATACATAAGTTGAAACTTGATTGTTAAGACTCGGAAAGAGTTTACGAACGATGTAACATAATATGAATTGTCAATCTAAATTATATCTTGCGATATATCTAAGACAATCATTGCGAATGCGAATAGAAATCACATTGAATATGCGCGCTGTAATTTTTACCTGGGGCGAGTCCATCAGTAGAGGCGCGGTCAGATCTGCCTCCTCGTCGCTCTCTGGAAATACCGGGCTGTCGTTTAACACGGTTGTTAGCATATTTACCGTGGAAACGGTCACCAGTAGCAGAAAAGCAGTCTCGACCAGGGAACACTTGTTAACGGGCTGACAATTCAATATACTGGAGCCAAGAGGCAACAATATAGCGGCCCTCGCGCAGTCTACCATGGCTTGGTGGAATAACAATCCCTGGGACCACCTGAAAATCCCAGGATAAACGTGCATCAATATGTTCATTCGCTATTCCGTCCATCTTGCTGCGTCTTCGTCTACTTCGCTATTTTCAGATTTAACATTGCATTCTATAATATAACGTCTTTGTATTTTATTGCCGCATAACAGCAACTTATTCGCAATTAAATTTTATTTCAAATAAAAATTCACATACACATGAATATACAAATATGAATATACAATATATATCTAAAATGTGAGGTATAGAATTTTACCGATCTATTGACTTTTTTTAACAAAAATTCATTGTGGTATATTCATTGTGTTCCGTATCATTTATCAATATTTATACTAAATATTGACTAAACTGAAAATTCTGTTGAACTAATTTTTATTTGAGATATTTATTTTTTGATTGGAAAAATATTTTATTTGCTTGTAACCTGAAAAAAACATTGCATATTTTCTGCCGGCGTTTTTGTTAATAAAATTTTATAGATTGATATCAGAATATGTTTGATATCACATTTGGGAACACTGCAGTTTCTCACGTACATTATATTTCAGATATTTTAGTATATCGGGAGGTATAGCGTACACAATTTATGTTTACTCGCAAGTATACAGTATACGATCAAGATTTTATTCGGTAAACACGTGTAGAATTTACCTGGCCGCAATATACTTATTGAAATAAAGTTTAGCAAGTTTCGGAAAGATACTCCTTCGCCAGATTAAAGTAAATCCACGTACGCGACATAGATAGAGAGAGAGAAAAAAAGAGAAAGTTTCTCTTAATTCATAAATTTTATTCGAAAGTGTCAAAAGTCATGTTACAGTAAATTTGCTTTATCGCAAACGCTGTTTGCTCCTGTTGTACGACACTTAACTGGCAATACATTTGAATATTACGAGGTAAAGGATACAATAGAGCAATACACAGCTGTGCATACGTTCCATATTGCGAACCTATTCACCTCTCTATTCAAAAAAACACGGTCATATGATTCTTAAAAACGTATGCCTGTATGTAAAAGCGGTTTTGTTTAGCTAATATCGATCGAATATCATAATGCGGGAATCTCTGGTATTATTTCCGGATTGAAGCACGGCGGTCATAAAGCGCTGTTCTTTGACGGATTATTATCGTACCTGCGCAGCTGTCGCTTCGCCAGTATTAGCGCCATGAGGATGATATTCGCCCCCATCCCCAATGCACCGAGGCTAAATATGACGGTGGCCTCGGTCACACCACCGGGATGACACTGGAACACCTTTGTGGCGTTGGACGTGACATTCCCGGAAGCGCCGATGCCGAACCTCAGATTAGCTCCGATCATCGCTACCGCTGAACCTGCATAAGAGAGAATTATTCCATTTAATCATTGCTATCGGACGAATGTTTTAATACGATAATTGCTAGAACGGCGAAATACTTTGAAATTCTGATTTTAAGAAACAAAAAAAAAATCGATTTAATGCATAATACAAAATATTTAGCGCAAATATATGATGGAGTCATAACATGTGAAATTATTAATAGATAGGTGTTAAGTAAAGATTGCTCTTAATAATCAATATAGCCTCTAATTACGCAAAGTTATGTTAAGTGCAAAGCAGGAATCTCCGCCGTTGCTAGAAGTTAGAAGCTATTATCAGTGAAGAGCGCGAGAATCTCAGGCATTTCCATCTTTCGCCAAATCTCGAATTACCCACGCTTTCAAATCTAGTTACTCTAGTTAGGTCTTGATTATCTCCCGTGCTTTGCGTGTAACTAGAGGTAACGAATGCTCAATCATCAGTCGTCTCAATAATTACAGAATAGTGGAAACGATCTCTCATGACTTTTATCAATTCAGACTACTAAGTTTTGATAAAAACGGATATGAAAATGATTTGAGATGTATAGAGATGTAAAGGATTGAGGTGTATAAAGTAAGCCTAAGGTGTATAATATAATTTAGCTTTGTTGAAAATCTCTGTTATTGAAGTGCATTTTTGGTTTCGAAAATAATATTGTTGTTAAATATATAAAATTTAATAGCAAAATATTTTTGATGGTTTAATCATTCATAGCTTGTGTAATATTTTGTTTTATTTTTCATTTGGCGAATAAAGCACCGTTTTCATAAAGAAACATTATTTCATTGGCTCTCGATTAGTAATAAATTTCTAACAGTATTGTAAAATATCAAAATACGGTATATTTCATTAAATCGTTTTACGAAAAAGTTACGTTCACATTTCAGTTTTGATTTAGCTTTTGTCAATTTTTCGTCATATTTTCGTCAGCCTTTTTACCAGTTTAAACTATTCTCACGGGCACAGTATCTTTACATTTTCGAAAACAAGTGAAAATATCCACCGAATCGAACGCGATATCGGCTGTTTATTCTTTCGTTAAGATTCAGTTGCGCGCGTATTTTGCTGAAAGAGAGGTGAAGAAGCGAGAAAATAGAAAAGAAATTGAAAGGGCGAGTACATCCGATCTTTATAGATATCGATATCTGAAACATACACAATGTGTATCGGAACCATCGTATTTTTCTTCACCTACAGATTCTTGACTTTCTCTTGTGTGTAGTCGATTGTTAAAAATATCACGATATGTAAAATTGGATTGTAAGAAAAAGAACTTATAATTAGCTTTTTATGAACTCTAAGCTTCTACTTTTACAAATCGATAAGAAAATGTATTAAAATTTAGGCTACACGCGTATAATGTGGATAAACGAAAATTTCAATACTTGGGTTGAGAGAGAACCTCATCTTTTATCGTCCAATGAACGTTTGCCAATATATATTCCAAGAGGCACTGCTTCAAAGTGCTTACCGCGAGATCATATACTTTTCTCTCTGCCTTGAGGCAAAATCACTTGGTTCACGTTTACGAGCGCGCGTTGAGTTCGAAACGTTTGGTTGTTTTCGCGTATACACGACCCACATTTTCAACTCGTGAGCCATGTTATCCGAAAGAGATGCCGCCGTACGAAAAGTGTTAACCGAGAGAGAGAGAGACAGAGAGAGAGAGAGAGAGAGAGAGAGAGAGAATGAGAAATGGAAAACAACTCCAACTTTATTCGACCTGTAAAAACTCGGTCACCGCGTCAGGCTCTCGTGCTCGAATGACTGTAGTACCTATCAATGTACAGCTAAATCAGCGAAATTAAGCAGCATCCGATACGAACTAATTCGATTTCGAAGCAGCTGCAGTTAATTGCGTTAGAAACTACGAGAATGAAAAGAGAAAATATCTTGTCGCCTGTTGACGCGCGCGCTTCGTCATGGAAGTTTTGTTTACGGTTATAAGAGATTTTCTTAATTTTAGCACTATTGAAACTTTCTCAATTTTAATCTTATAATAATTTAAATATTTACACGTCACTTTCAGTAATTACAGATACAAAAGAGAGAGTAATTATTATACAAAGTTATTATAAATTAAGATTAGACAAGCAGCAGTAGTATTATGGAGAGGAGAATATAATAGGCAAATATAATAGTTTTTCAGTCATATGTTCTTTAATAATAAATTATAATTCGCTTATTTTGTCTATTTTCTTATAAATACGAAAGAAAAGCCGAGTATTTTTCATTAGTTTCACGATTGTCAGTCATTGAAGCTTCGTCATGGATCTTTTGAAAGCTTCTTTCGACATCACTACTTCTTCAACTTCAGAACGATTGAAAGTTGCTTGGCAATCAAGCTTGGCCGTTGCGAGTCTTCTTTCTTGGATATCGATCGCGACAAAAAGTTTTACTGATCGAAGTCAAAAAGAAAAACCACTCGAAAGTATACTACCACTGCTCTTTTATATCCGTCGGATTCCGATCGATTTTAAGCTGTAAGCGAATTGATATCATTATTGAATTGATAAAACTAGTCCCTTTATAGATCCTTATCGACCGATCCCATTGTGAGATTCTCTACAATATCGTAGATCAAGAGAGATGAGGCAAAAAGCGACTAAATTAAAGCGTCGTAAAAGATTTAAGTGCCCCTTATACTTTTACTTTCAATCGAAGCAATTGCGCTCTGAAATAAAGTGCGCGCGGTCAATTTCGGTTAATAAGTACATCAATGAAATTCATGCCACAGGAAGCTAAAAAAAAAAGATAATATTTCTTTCCACGTTATAAAATATGATCTTATACAAGAATGGATTTACACACATATAATTCGCCTTTATGAAAATTTATATAATAATGGATATTAGATTTCTTTCTAAAATAATTTGCTTTATTAGAAATGTGATAAGTCGATGTAAAATAACACGTTGATAGAAATCCGGAGGGAAGAAATGTCTGATCAAATCGCGATGGGTAATTTGTGTTTTCCGACGCGTTTTTCTTCTCGGTCGTCCCACGAATCGTAAATTCCCATCTGTTCAAGAGTTTTTTTATCGAGCCACGTCCAGGAGGCGCCGGAAGGAAATCTCATGCATATTCACGCGGAGATGAGATAATTCAATTTTAGGGCCGCGGTACATCAGCAACGAGGTTCTCTCTCTCTAACTACCTCACAATTAACCTGCTGGTAATTCGTACCGCTGCGGGCTAGTCTTTGCCCTGCCGTCCGAACGCTCAAAATGACTTTTCGCGTGTTTCAAAACTTAAATGTGTATTCAGCTGGCTCCAGAACGAAGTTATCTCTCTCGGGAAAGTTTCTCCCCGCGGCGCTTTTCGTTTCGTCTTCGCGAGTTTTATCATAGTTATTTCTGAGTAATGCGAGGGTACATGTGAGGTACAGATGGTGTGTTGAGATAATGAGTTAAAAGAGAGCGCACGATTCATAAATTACTTTCAATCTACGAATTTTATTTTGCAAATAAATATCGATATGTTTTATTTGTTTTAATTATTATGTTCTTAAATTTTCGAGATTTTATTTTTGATATTTTATAAAAGCATTGGAGATATATTTCCAATCAAGTTACAGAACGCTTCGTTAAGATTTCTCTTGGCAAATTAGATTTTAGTCTTCATGAAAAATCGAGGAAATTTACGGTCATTCATGGTAACATAGAAGTTATACAATGGCATAGTACAGTAACGAATTCGTTTTAAGGATGGAACTCTTTACGAATGTCGAAGCTTTCTTTCTTAAGAATTCCTGAATTATATGAAATTGTAAATTTGAATATGTCTAATTTTGTTTAGACGCAACGAAATAAAATTCTCTATAAATTATGCAGATTTAAAAATTTTGAAAGTGTGACATCGCTGAATAAATATCGTATAAGATAAAATATTACGACGAAAGTTTTTTTTTTTTTAATGGTTCCTAGTTTCGCTACTGCTTGCATATGCAAATTTCGAAACTAAAACTTCATAATATTTTAATCTCGAAAGCGTAAGGCATTACCATATGCTTTAATTTTGTGTGCGATGACATCAGATTAAATAATAAAGACGACAAGTCATTATTCGCAGTACTTTTGTGGTTGGATGTACAAGGATTTTACTTTTTTATCTTACTTTATATAAAGCCATATAAATTTTTTTGCTTAATGCTACCGCATAGATGCCATTTATATGCAAAGGGTTAATAGACACTTACGTGTGCAAATAAAATATCGGTAGCTGATACGCGTTTACACGGATAAAGTGGGGCACGTGGATATAGGCGAATGTAATAGGATTTAAAGCAATCCAATTAGTCAGACCTAAATAAATTCGTTAAGTCTTGACAAGGTTCCAGCATCCTTCCTATTTTCTCTTTTTTCATCTCACTTGCTGTTTTCTCGCCTTCGTTTTTCTCATTCTTGAAAACCTCAGTCAACCGTGAAATAACTCTCTTTCTTTCGCTTGGACAAAAACTAATAACCAGTCGAATAATTTGTCAGGCCGATCAAAAATTCCAACTGAAGTACAATTTAACGTGTAATAATTTTTACTGATTTTTTCTACGTTTACTTGTTCGATATCTTTGTATTATTTTATTGAAATTGTTATCTATTTATTTAGTAAATATGGAACAGACGAAGGCAAATAAATAATTCCAGAATATTATTTCAAGATGTTGTAGCATAGAAGTTACTGAAGCTATCTTGCGACTTGAAGAAAAGCAAAAGAATGAATATTTGTGTGTGTATGGATAACATTCTCTCTCTCTTATATCTTCAAATTACAGCCAACTGTTTTCGTTCCAAAAAGTAGTGATTTTGCGGTATCTTGAATAATTTCAATTTGCAACTATAATATTGATGTAAATTTTAACGCGCGGAGAGAAGAAAACGTATACATTGTATTATTTATATGTATAATACTACATTTCTTTAACTTTTAGAACATATCTTAGAATTATTTAACATAAATTTACATGAATGTAATTATCTTACAAAAACTATTTCT